AAACGTACGTACATTTGCATCAGCTTGACGAAACAGGCGGTAATGCCCTTGCCTGTCGAGCGCGGGATTATATTAAAAATGAGGAACATGCACACTGTCATCACAGACCGGTTCTGCTTCGCCTCGAAGCGTCCCTCTCTAGAAAAAAAATCGCTGCCTGTGTCCACGGGCAGCACAAGTTGGGGATATGTTCGCGTACATCTCTCACTAACGCATTGCAATCTCGCATCGAGTTCCTTCAGGATCTCAGTTTGCGGTGTGTGCAGCAACTTCTCAAAGGCTGCCGCCCTGAATGCGTCGACCATGTGCAGGAATATGCCATGTTCGATCGTGTGCATACAGTCTGGTTGCAATGCGAGGTGGTAGTTTAGCTGAGGATCATCGTCGCTCGGCCCCCTGTAGAACCCCCAAAGGCCGTTCTGTTCAACATGCCTATGCATGTCCAACTCTGCCATTCGCCCTCCCGCTTCGCGGCGCACGTCATCGTCGTCCGCCGTGAACAGGGCTTCTGCGAATTGGGTTTCCAGCGTCCGGGATCTCCTGCAGTCTGTGAAATCGGCCACAACATCGAGGTCCGTTTTCGACACGGTGCATGTGGGGCATACACCAAACTTCACATTCGCCAGCGCACATCGTTCTGGATAGTCATGTATATAGTTGAGGAGGAAAGGGTGGACAGTCACGTCCCCGAATCGCGTCGATGGTATCGTGATGCCGTCGTGCGACGCCTCCTTCGCAGCTTGCAAGACCATCGAAAGGGCCTTGTGGAAGATGACGGTCTTTCGCTTCCTAAATGCACTGGACTGAAGACCCCATCCTTTGTCACGGAGTCGATGATGAAGCACGGGGAGATAGGCCAGCGGAGTGGCTTCCGACGCGTGGTCGGCTAGCGACATCATAAGAGGGTATGCGGTCTGTTTCTGACGACCGTCTGTGTGTGTCTTGTCGAAGTAGAGTGAGAGAGGGATCACATATCGTGGATTTCCATTCCCGTCGACACCTTTGTGCGCTCGAATGGTTGACTGCGTGTGATAGCTTAGCGCCCCACTGCGCGGACCGGACACGCTGTGGTCGTCGATGGCGGGGACACTTCAAGGGAATGAACCGTCTCGCATTTCTGCAATGCGACCTGCATTATCGACAAGAATGCAGTTCGCCAATCGCGGTGCCACAAGATGGCGTGCGCTCCTTTAGGCCAGTCGTCACTACGCAGGTCCGACTCCTTCCACCCGGCGGCCTCTGCGAGACTGCCCGCCCATGCGAAGCACTCTCGACTGTTGAGGTACGCAATGTCCGCCACGTTGAATCTCGGGTCTTTGAGAAGTGACAAGAGAGCATCAACGTCGCAATGCGACATACCGACGCCGCCACGTGCGGACAAAATAAGCGCTGCTAGCTTGCGCGAGCTGTCAAAAGGCTCGACGGGTTGCGCTTCCGGCTCTGCGTTGTCACCCGCTGCCCCGTTCGCGTTGTCCTCTGCCCCCGCGTCGTCGCTGTCATCAGCTGCGAGATTCGCTGCGCCCATGTCGGATAGCCCCGGATCGTGGGCAGCATTGTTCTCCTGCCTTTGCGCCCCCTCTTCCACCACGGCCGGGCATGCCCTCGCACGATGCGAGTTTAAAGTCCGTAAGGACATGAAAGGTCTGCCGCAGTCGCACACCAGTGGACCGCAGTGCATTCGAAACACAAAGACAGCGAAGCGGACAGTGCTTCGTTAGCATTTTCCACATATGGTCGGGGCATGTGCGCTACGTAATGCTGACCATGTTTTCTTATGCAGTGTGAGTCCTGCACGTTGTGGAAAAAGCGTCTAAGCATGTTTTTTCCACCTATCCATCGTGATCAGTGAGATTGCCCACACGAGGCAAGCTTTGACTCACTTTCCCGGATGTGTACACTACATTGAAGATAGAGACTTGAGATCGGGCGAG